AACACCCTTCATCTACAGAAGGGTAGTCTTGGACAGGGCGTGGCGGAGGTTGAACTTCTTGTTCACCTGCCTCGCAATCACCCTGCTGCCGTTCACAGCCTTGGCCGTGCCGTTGCTAGCAAACCCGTTGTTCGCGAGCTTGTTCACAGTCGTGCGGGGGACCTGTCCAACAGCGCCATCCAGCGCGGTCTCGGCAATGTAGCTGCACAGCTCGACGGGGCTCGTGGGCGCGGAGCCGAGGCCGAGGAAGTACGCGGCCAAACCAGCAATGTGGGGGGAAGCCATGGAGGTACCGGAGATGGTCCTGGTGCGGCCGTTGGGCCAGGTGCTGAGGATGTCGGTGCCGGGCGCAAGGATGTCGACGGAGGCGCCAAAGTTGGAGTACTCGGCGAGGGTGTCGGTCTCGGTGGTCGCGCCGACGGTGCAGACGCTCTCCTCGGAGCCGGGAGACGAGGTGCTCGCGTCCGCAGCCTCGTTGCCGGCGGCGGCGGCGAGGAAATGGCCGGCCTTGACGATGGCGGCGGCGGCCTGGTTGACGGCGTTGGAGGACTGGCCGCCAAGGGACATGTTCACGACGACGCCCTTCTCGCAGCCCTGCTGGCCCGCGGCGTCGGCGGCAACGAAGTCCATGCCGGCGATGACAGCGGAGTTGGTGCCCTCGCCGTTCTGGTCGAGGACCTTGACGGCGAAGAGCTTGGTCTTCTTGGCGACGCCGTAGGTGCGGGAGCCGATGGTGCCGGCGACGTGGGTGCCGTGGCCCTGGCCGTCGGAGTCGTCGTTGTCGGCGTAGTTTGCGAGGAAGGTGGCGCGGCCCTCGAACTCCTGGTTTCAGTTGTTAGCCCGAAAATCATCGACATGACATATGCTCGAGCTGGGTACGTACGGGGTGCTCGACATCGATACCGGTGTCAATAATGTAAGCGCAAGTACCCTCACCAGCGCTGTCGTCGTATCTGTACGTCGTTCCTCCAGGCGAAGAGCTCGAGAGTCTGGCCAGTCCCCACGGGGCGTTGGTCTGGGTAGCGCTGATCGACATGATGGCATCCTGCTCGATGAAGTCGATGCTGGGGTCGTTCTGAAGCGTCTCAATCTCAGAAGCGTTCAGCGTCGACGCAAATCCGCGGAGGTTGTTGGCGAAGTTGTACACATGGTCGGCCTCGGCTGCAAAGGCAGACATGGCGGTCGCCATCGCACCGGCCTCGGCCTCGGGCTTGAGGCGGACAATGTACTTGTCGGCAACGAGCTTGACGTTCATGCCTCGGGGCTTGATGAGGGGCGCGGGCTGGGCGCGGCGGGCGGACGGGGCCGCGAGGGCCGTCAGGGGGAGGAGGGCGAGGAGCGTTGGGAAGTGCATCTTGGCGCTTAGTCAAAACCCACACAGCACACACACGGAAAAAGCAAAAGAAGGACTTGGGATAAAGAGTGGAAGAGAGGGAAAAGAATGAGATTTCAGATCAAGATCGTACAGAGCGGAAAGGTGTTTGTTGAAAAAGAATGTGAGATGTGCGCTGGATGGGAGTTTGGCCTTTGTGGTTCGATGGGTGTCGAAGCCTGGGTGGTTCCATCAACGTCCTCAACATGCGGCAGACCGTCAGAGTCTTATACTCCTGCATGATCATGCATCTAGCCAAGCGAACATCAGAGCGTCCCGGAGCCAGTTCTTTTCTTAGTGTGTCGTGGATTCCCACGGTTCCCCTTCTGGTCCATCATCAAACCCGCTGTTTGTCCAAGTCTGGCAGGTGGGCAGATCAAGATTTCGCTGACGGCTCGCGGCTCCGCGTCTCCTGTTGGACGGAGATGGGGTCATGGATTAAACCGCGGGCCCCGCTATTGGAGCCGATGTTTGAATTAAAGGAAACCAAGGTCAGAACTACCGGGGACCAACCACGGCCACCGAGAGAGCCTCAAGTCGAGACAGCCACCCGTTCGACGGGCTGCCAGCTGCGGCTTGCTTGCGCTGCCGCTGGACGGCATCCATGCACTGTTGCGTTGGCCCCGTTGAAAGTGATGTGTTGTGGTGGGTGAAAAGAGGGTTGGAGGGCTCCGCTTCCATGTCGATCACCGCGCCGGGGGTCTTCGGGCTGCCACCTCCTTGACACGGCAGTGCTTTTTTGCGGATCAGGGCACCACAATCAAATGTTGAGAGAAAGGAGAACGAACAATCGAGAGCGAATGGAGGCTGGAGGCAACAATGTTTGGGCTCGCTCGTTGACAGCCAACAGAGCTGCCGCTGCTGCGCCTTTGCCCAGCAGAGCTCAGTCTCAAACCCCTTCATCGTGCAGGCAAACCGCCCAATGGGAAACATTCAACGACGGTATATCCATTCAGAATTAAGCATGAGCCAGCGGGTCGCCCACGCTGGGACGAACCAATCCGGATATGGGATGGCATCCATGAGATCCAAGAATGGCTCGTTTCAGGGGTTTTGACGCAGCTGATTCGCCACGCTGGAAACGCCGCCAAGGAATTGACCCGATATGCGATCAACATGTCTCACTTCTCCGTCTGGCCAACCAACGTTGCTTATTGGCAAAAACCAGTCGTTCTGAGGGGACGGAAAGAAAGCATGATGGTCTATCTGCTGGTGGGGTTTCGGAGAGAGGCTCGCTCGCCTGCCGGGATCCTGTGTGCCCTGATTGCTCCAGTATTCTGGGCAACCGTTATTGCGATTTTCTCAACTGCTGTGGGGGTCGAAAAGGGCCTCCCTATTTCGGAGTTTCGCTGGAACGACGGGGATCATGTGCATTTCACATGTGGCCAATAGAGGGTTAATGCTTGCACTGAAACCATGACGGAATTACTTGGACGAGCTGAGAGATAGACTCCTCAGAGACATGGTGTCGCAGTTTACGACGTGATGCGATTTTTGGCCGGTCGGAACTTTTGTTATCTCAAGCAACTACCCTGCAACCTTGTTTGCGATCAACGCGGCGTTCCGGATCTTCATTCGTAAGGTTGGGAAATAAGCTTAGCACAGCGCGTGTGCGCGATAATGTTTGACGGGAAGGAACAGAGACGACTGACTCGGTGTTACACCAGCTTATGCGGGCTGCCGCCGCCGAAGGGGCTTGGGAGTTGCCAAGAGAGTGGGATACGAATCTTGATTGATCGCATCTCAGACATCAAACGGGGAGGCTTGACGGCAAATTTCTGCAAGACAGGGACGAACCGGTATTGGAAGGTGTGCTGGATTGGTGAAACCAGCGCGGCACATGATGGAACATTCCGTCGGTGAGGAAACATCGTCATTTGAGGAGGAGGTTATCGCGTTTCTCGAATATTGTCTTGGTAACACAGACTGATCCTGGTATTCCCTGGAAACGCTTTGATATGCCAGGGCAGCATATGATGGAACGGAGATGGTGACTGGACGCAAAGTGCGGCCTTCGGTGGTCTGGAAGATGTCTTAGCAGGTCAAGTCTAGTGGCGATACCTTCCATTCAGCTGTGAGCTTGAAGTCATTGTTTTCGCCTCCAGTGATGCATCCACAATATCTTTGCCGGTAGACAATTATCGTCTTTATTCCCACAAGCTTGAGTTCTGTTTCCGATGCAAGGCATATAGAAATCACTCGGCGCTCGGCGACGTGATCACAATAAATTTCAGTGGCTACGGTCGCAATGTCTTGAGAAACAGATGTAGCTCAACTCTCCGTCACTACCCGTATCTATATAAATTCAAATGATTGCGACTAGTCGTAACGTTCATGTTAACCACGGTTCAACTGTCTTCATGCACCGTGATTTCGACGCGGAGGACTCCCGGAACATCTGTTCATCTGTTGTTAGACTGGGTCAATGCTTGCCAAGGATCGTCACACGGCAATTGCACATTGCAATCAAATCAGTTGTAGCTATTATGATGCCCAGAACACACGCAGAGGCGATGGGGTTTCAAAGCACACCACCGGCACGACGTCAACATTTACTATGTGAAGATGAAAAAAGAAGTAAATAGCAAATCGGCGGATTGGCCAGATATTCAGCCGTTCCAAACAATTTTGTGGAATGATGGAGACGGTCCTACCTGATTATCGTGTTATTATTATTGGAATCAGGTAAAAGTGGCGTAAAACGTACTAAAAAGGTGGTAATATTATGATTAGTGGGCATTCTCCTTCTGCAGGCTTTAACGACTCAAATAAAGTCACCGTTGACTATGTAATTGTGCCAACCTGTTGTTCAGATGCGGCCGGATCACCTGCCGCTCTGAGGTCGCGCAATCCGGGATGTTCTCGTTCGTCGATCCTAGAAATAGCGAATTGCTCTCTACACTGAATCCTGGGATGAACCGGTGATGAGACTGTTCCTAGGGCTCAATGTGTACTATCCACGGTTAGTCCGCCGTTCTTATGATTAGGAGTACATCAAGGGGTATCGGATGACTGATCGGGCAGTACTCGTTGATGGCTTCTATTTCCTAGGGTTCTGCGCATGGCAGAACCCCAGCTTTCCCAGAACCCAGGACTTCACAATCCTACTCAGCTTATCATGGTAGAAACGGTGATTTTGTTCGTTAGCATGGCAATGAGGCGCATTAGATTAAAGAGAGCTGTAGCCTTGGTGGCTTAGAAAGGGGCTCGACTTTGAGGCGCTAGACATGATGTCCAATAAATACAATGAAGTTGTGACCGCAGCTGACGAGACCGCGTAGATTTAGAGTTCTCAGATAGTTCAATCATTGCCAGCCCGATTGCTTGGTATTGTGCCGTCTTCAGGATGCGAAACTGCTCACAGGCCTCACAATGCCCCGGGTGGGGGTTTCAGCAACCGCTGTCATCCGTTTCTCCCTCAGAATGTCGCCGGCGGAAAGTATAAATTCCAGTTACCTATGTCGACCAAGTGCAAAAACATTCATTGGCTGTTATACTTTAAGTCTCGCCTCACATCTCATCTTGAGTTCTTCACCAACGTTTCAGTGCTGGACACATTTAAGAAGTGGCCCGCAAGAATTTCCAGACGATCGTTACTTTCGCCAACACTCTCTCTCACCCGACGAAGATGGAAAAGCTTGAAGACACGGGGGCGATCCACGTTCCTTTCAAAGAGCCGCTCGACAGGATACGCGGATGGTTTTCCGGAGCATGGTCTCTCAAATCGCATTACAGCTTTCTCGAAGGCAACGACATGTACTCACCGACCGAACTGCCGCTTGACGAAACGGAGCGATTACCGCCCCTCTCGAGAGCCTCAATAGGATGGCGGCCCGTCAGCCCACAGCGCCTGTTTTGGTTGATATTACCATCGTATGTCGCTCGCGCATTCGGCCGCGGCACGGCAGACGCAACTATCCCGGCCCCGAACAGTACATCGTATTTGAATGGCCTTCGCGGCATTGCATCGCTCATCGTTGTACTTCAGCATACTATAGACGGAGATGTAAGTGACTTGGAGCGCCGTTCCCTTTGTTGAGCCAAGCACCGACGATTGCCTATGGGTGTGAGACCCTGGTTTTCGAAAGTTGACTTACAATGGCGTGTAACCAGTATTCAATCGTCCACCACGCCTGGGGCGAAGACGAGGAAAATCGCTACTTTATCCAGCTGCCGTTCGTTCGCCTCATACATAGTGGAGTATTTATGGTATCGGTCTTCTTCGTCATCAGCGGATTTGCTCTTACATACGGGCCCTTGAAAAAGTCCCATGCGGGACAAGGCGCCACTGCCATCACTTCTTTCCCGTCTAGCATTTTTCGCCGTCCGTTCCGGCTCTTCCTCCCCACCATACCTATCATCGCGATCTCGACCGCCTTAATTCCTTTCAACGCATTCTACGCTCTCAACAGCTTCGAGCCTATGGAGCCTGTCGCCCTCGGTCTCTGGGGCCATCTGTACTACATGTGGTGGACATTAATAACTATCATCACCTCCGGCTCAGCCAACACAGTCATGCCCCAGGGCTGGACTTTGGCGGCCGAGTATCAAGGATCGTTACTTGTGTTTCTATCCTGTTTGGCCTTTCTCAAAATGGCGCCCCTGGTGCGGATGTCATTTACCGTCTTACTTCTGAACTACTTCTTCTACCTACGAAACTCGTACTCCTGCCTTTTTCTCGCAGGCATGCTCATTGCCGACTTTCGACATATACGGGCAAAGATGCCAGGCTTACCGATAATGGCACGCAAGATCATTACCATCACATCATGGCTACTGCTTCTGCCCATTATCTTTCTGGGCTGCTGGCCGATGCATGGTAACGCCTTCGCGGCCCCTGGATATTCGTGGTTTATCGAGTTTGACACGTATGGCTTTGGACCGCAAACCTTCTTCCAAGCCACATGTGCTGTGGCTCTGGTGGTAGTGTTGGAAAATTTACCTCCTTTACAGCGTCTTCTCAATACCAAGCTGGTATTATACCTGGGAGAGATCAGTTACAGTCTCTATCTGGTTCATTGGGGGTGTGGCAAGAACTTCCTCACTTACGGCCTCAAACTCGAGATGATAGAAGCCGGGTATAGCCTGATCGCGTCATGGGGTTCACTTTTTGTTATTACAATGGTGTTATGTTTTTGGCTAGGGGATGTCCATTGGCGCCTGATTGACCAGAAATCAGTGCGATTCTCACATTGGCTGAGCAGGAGTCTCGGCATATAGCGAGCGATCTTTGAAGACATGGTCCCCCTGAAATCATAATAGATATCAATTATACCTGAGCTAGATCATGAACGAAGCTCCTTAGCCTCTTACGAAACAGCAATTAGTGTAATAGTGGAATGAGGCTGTGCTCTCATGTGCCCACCTTCTCGCCCTACATGTAAGCTCATCTCATGCATCATTATACTAACTGAAATTCAAAAAAGTGTACAATGAGGAGCCGGGTAAGCCAGTGGCATCTTAAAAATAGAGAAGACGGTACACGTTACCAAAACGGTTTGAGGTACGTCGACATATTGGGACTTGCAGTCGGTAGACTGGGCAAGCCGCAATCCACGCTCCTCCACACGGAGTAGTCCGGTGGCGTGGCGTGGGACTCCGAGCCAAGAATATGACTGCCAAAAGGGACTCGCCAAGGATATTAGCCTGAATACAAACTCATCGCGTGCACTTCGTTGAAAGTTTGAAAGTCCGAATGTGTGATAATGTCGGCCGAACTACAGCGGCACACGGGGGATTAGGAGACCAATTCATCACCAATCCGTCAACCTCGCGTCGAAATAAGCCGACAGGACTGTTCTCACTAATCAAGAATCTCGGGAGGTATTCTGTGAAGACATGCATGAAATCCCTTGAAAGAAATTTCTCTCTGCGGCACATAAATAGATACTATTATAAACAATGCAATTACAAGTAGTTGGCCTTATGGGGTAGCCACGTTCTTTCGCTTGCTACAATCAATCATGACGGTCTCGATCTCCAGAGTCTCATTTGAACACCATCCCATCGCCCTTGGAATCGGGGAAGACAAGCCACGTATCTCCTGGCGCTTCGATGGCCTAGAGCAAAACTGGACTCAGAATGCGTACCAGATCGAGGTCAAACGCCAGGGGTCATCCAGCATTCACGGCTCTGAGTCCTCTGACTCTCTCTTTGTCCCGTGGCCACAGTCACCCCTCGCATCAGCCGAACGGGCTGCTGTTCGAGTGCAAGCCTTCGGTGGTGTAGGAAATTCGTCGACTCCGTGGTCTGATTGGGTTACCGTCGAAACCGGCCTCTTGACCCAGAACGATTGGTCTAGCGCGGTGCCCATCGCTGCCGATCGAGAGACTGAGGTCGACGGGCCCAAGAGACCAATCTACTTCCGAAAGTCATTCAGTCTCAGCAACGCAACTAGATCCAAGATCAAGTCCGCGCGACTCTACATCACCGCTCTTGGTCTATACGAAGCTGAAATCAACGGAAGGCGTGTTGGAGATCATGTCATGGCGCCAGGATGGACTTCATACAATTTCCGCCACGTCTACAACACCTACGATGTAACCGACCTACTGAAGCCAGGCCAGAATGGCATCGGTATACTTGTTAGCGAAGGCTGGTTTTCTGGCATTCTGACCGCTGCGGGGAACTACCGCAACAATTATGGCGACACTCTGGGCGTCCTATCTCTGCTTATCGTAACGCTTGCTGATGGAACCAATATCAAAGTGGCCACGGATAATAGTTGGCAGGCTAGCGAAGGGCCCCTGACCAGCTCAGAGATCTATAACGGTGAGATCTATGACGCGCGGCTTGAGGATAAGATTCGCGGCTGGTCAACTGGAGATTTCAATGGCAGCAACTGGCTGGCAACGAAGAAACTCTCTCCTTTGAAGGGCAAGCTTATGCCTTTGGATGGGCCACCAATCAGAAAGGTGCAGAGCATCCATCCCAAGCAGGTGTTTTTGTCGCCTTCTGGGAAGACGTTGGTGGATTTTGGACAGAACCTGGCAGGATGGGTCAAGTTATCAGTCAAAGGACCCGCATTCTCGGAGACGATAAACATCACCCTTCACCACGCCGAAGTCTTGGACAAGGGTGAGCTCGCCCTCCGACCGCTGAGACGCGCCAAAGCTACTGATACTCTGATTCTTGACGGCAATTCCAACCAGACGCGGACCTGGGAGCCTCGGTTTACGTATCATGGCTTCAGATACGTTCAGGTGGATGGCTGGCCTGCAGAAGTTCCTCTTGATGAACACACCATTCAAGCAGTCGTCGTTCACAGCGACATGGAGCGCACGGGCTGGTTCAAGTGCTCTAACGGACTATTAAATCAGTTCCACGAGAACGTCGTCTGGTCCACTAAGGGGAATTTCTTCGGCATTCCGACCGATTGTCCCCAAAGGGACGAACGCCTCGGCTGGACTGGCGACGCTCACGCCTTTGCGCCAACAGCCAACTACCTCTTCGACACTTCCGGCTTCTGGAGGGGCTGGCACAGAGATATCTGGTCGGAGATGCAGAGACAAGACACCATGTACGTGCCGTATTTCGTTCCGGTCATTCCACCGGAGATAGACACCAAAGCGTGGAATCCTTCAAAACCCTCAGCGCTGTGGGGCGATGTTGCCGTTGCCGGGCCCTTCAATCTCTACCAAGCATACGGCGACCTCGGAATGCTGCAAGAACAATACAACCAATCCCAAGCATGGATGGACAAGGGAGTCCCTCGAGACTCCCAAGGACTCTGGGCAAAGAACTCTTACCAATTCGGAGACTGGTTGGATCCCAAGGCACCAGCCAGCAATCCCGAGAAAGGGACCACTAACAAGTATTTGATCGCGGACGCATACTTGATCAGAATGACGGAGCTGATAAGCATTATGTCGACGGCATTGAGCCTCGGTGATAAGGCTGAGGCATACAAGAGACAACGCCTGGGGCTCATCGAAAGCTTTCGAGAGACTTGGATGTCGAATGGCACTATGCCCAATCGGACGCAGACTGCATACGCGCTTGGTCTCGACTTCGGAATCTTCAACGAAGAACAGCACAGCAGAGCCGTCAGCACGTTGAAGAGCATAGTAACCGAGAACAACTACCTTGTTGGGACAGGCTTTGCAGGGACGTCATCCTTAGGCCCAGCATTGTCGAGAAACGGAGCGGCTGATGATTTTTACCGTATGTTGTTGCAAACTCAGGTGCCGTCTTGGCTCTATCAGGTCGTCATGAACGGAACAACGACATGGGAGCGATGGGACAGTATGCTGGCTGACGGAGCAGTCAATCCCGGAGCTATGACAAGTTTTAATCATTACGCCTTTGGATCCGTATCTAACTGGATACATGAGACCATCGGGGGTGTGGCTCCTGCCGAACCCGGATGGAGAAAGATTCGGATTGCTCCGGTGCCTGGGGGAAACATCACATACGCCAGCTCGAACTTCATCAGCCCTTATGGTGAAGTGCGGGTGAAGTGGGACATTGATGACAACAAGGACTTCCACATGGAAATCGAGGTTCCTCCAAACGCAAGAGCTGAAGTTACTTTGCCAGGGGCTAATTCGACTACTAAGGAGGTTGGATCTGGACGATACACATTTCATCAGTCTACCAGCCGTTAGCTAGCTTGAACATAGAGTTCTTATCCTTTGTGACTGTGGCAATCTTCAACAATGCTCTGTTTTTCTTGAGGTCAAAACTTGTTTCATGTTATCAACGAAATTTGATGACCCAATCCTCTTCATCTTCCTCTTCATCTTCCTCTTCAAGAATGGGCTCTGCTCTCCGGGGAAGATCATGCCCAAGCCTTTGGAAATGCATGAGGGCAGCCTCGCCTCTCGTACAGGTCGCGCCCTCTTCCCGCCACGTCACACCTGGGATGGGAGGACCCCAAAACTGGCCCGGCCCTAGCCCCGCAGTTAGCACGCGCTCAAGATGGTCCGCGGAAAGCCGCAACATGAACAAAGCTCGCGCCGGGTCCAGGTGATTTTTGCAAGCCTGCAAGATTTCCACAACGTGGCAGGGCATGGCGGGCTTGGCGAGCTCGTTGGGCACTGGTCCGATGACATCTTCGACGAACGGCCTGATGTCTTCTCTGAGATCGTGTAACACCCAGAACGCTTGAGCATGAAGAACGAAGAAAGGGAAGGACACTTGGTAGGCCTCATATTCCAGTGCGTTGGAAAGGTCGATGATCACGCTGGCAGGGTCCATGGCCTCAGGATGTACCGGCTTCCTGGCAGCTTTGCCGTTGGCCTTGGTTTTCTTTGGCTTTTCTGGCGTCTTCGAATCCTCCTCTGCAGGGAAGTGAAAACGCTCGGGGATGATCTCATAGACATCCTCAAGTCTCCAGGCACCTGGTCCCGTTCGTCCGTAGTCGGCGACGTATCTGTCATAGAACGCCATCCAAGTCGGGGTGTTGAGTTGGATCAAACGGTGGTATACATCTTGAAAGACCTTGGTCCGAGTTTTGCCTCGTCGCTTGGAAGGATCCATGAAACTTGTGGCCGACACGCCAAGCTGCATCATGAGACTCTTGGCATACTCTTTCATCTCTGACGGGACTTTGCCCCCGATGAAGAATTGAGAGGGCCCGAGTAAAGCCATGGCTGCTTCTAGATCAGGCCAAGGCTGCTGGAGTTGCCCTTCAGCCTGCACAGCGTTATACAGATGCATGGCGCAGAGAATTGATCGGGAAACGTTCGCAGAATGAATACCTGTGCGATACATGGTGAACCGGTACGCGTAAAGAAGCAGGCCGCATGCGATGGGATGTCTTTTCCAAAAGCCATGTTTCTCTGGTTTGGCCGCGCTTCGAAGCTTTTTCTTCTTCTGCAAAGCCAGCTTGGCCATGTAGATGGGATCCTCTTGTAGTTCTAGACAGCCTGTGGCCACTTCTCTCATCTCGTGATCATACTCGTCGAACTCTTCGAACACGTCCAAAGTAGTCAGCACCCGATAGTACTCGCTGAACTGATCACACAGCTTCTGCATGATATCCAGCATCTCGTCTTTCGGCTTAGAGATCTTTTTGCCGAGATAGTGATGAACATCAAGCAGCACCTGTGACGCGAAGGCCAGGTAGAAGGGTATCTTCCCAGTTTGACGAGCCTCCCTTAGGCCGCGCAGTAGGTTGTCTTCGATAACATGTGGCCATTCTATCAACCCGGAAGGATCTTTCTTTCCTAGATGGTCGTCAATGAATGCGAGATCCTCAAACACATGCTTGAGAATGTCGCGGTCGCGGTCGAACTTCGGGATCCCCTTCCGTGCCATGACATCCTTCATATTGTCGAGGTTAACAGGCTCAATGGGTTTCTTATTCGATTCCAACCCCGGTAGTACCTCGCTGAGGATACTGAGCGTGTTCAAAAAGCTCTCCCTGCCGCCGATGTAGAACAAGTCGTCTACACTGTCATCAATTCTGAGGCCAAGCTCTGGTGCGTCGGTGTTTCCAGGCGTCAAAGACCAGGATACGATCAGGTCGCAAAGCATGTAATGCTTATTCTTCAGCGCTCCGTAGAAACCATTCTTTTGCGACTCGAGTACCGGGAACACGTCGTCAATCATATGACGTGCCAAGTCGAACCCGGTGTTGGAGGCAACTGCCACAGCCGCCAAGTCCGCATCGGACCCATCGTTGTAGTTTATCCACATGGCTTTGATCGCACCCCGAACATTGATAAGATCCTTCCATAGGAGGTCCAGGATGAACAAGGCGTCCGTGTCAGACATAGTATCTTCGGCCTCGTAAACAACCTTCGGTTTTTCAATGTCCGGAGCGTCGAGGAAGTCCTGAGAGGGCTCATCTACAGACAACCCTTCGAATTTGTTGGAGAGATTTGTCTCGACAGACTTGGCTTCTGGAGTCATGAGCGGTCGAAGAACGTCGCGAACCTGCTCGAGAATGCCGATGAAATAATTGTGGCTCATGTCGGACTCTGGGTTTCGTTTGTTCTTGATGCCAGCTAGCTTCGAACTGAACTCCTTTCGCAGCCGAATGACCCGATTAATGGCAATTGCGAACACTCCGGGCACCTTAGCCTTTTCGCTCTTTGAGGTGGATATGAATTGAGCCAGCGGGATGTACTCCGCAACGACAACGGTGTATTTCTTCGGGCCACTTTGTTCACCACTGTCGGCGGCTTTCCCGGACTTCTTCGGCTTCTTCTTGCCCTTCGAGTTCTTGCCGCCTTTGCTCTTCGACTGGCTGGTTGAGCTGGTCTGGGCGGAGGCTGAGGCTTCGCCCCCAGCGGCAACCTCGGAGAGCAGGTCCGCAGGATATCCACATGTTTTTGCGGTTGTAGCCAGCCACGACGCGACAATGTTGGTGTCTCTTTTATACTGTTGGTAGACACTCTTCAGTCCAACTGGAGGCATGGTGTTATATGGTCGGGACTTTCTCCCGGCGACAGCGACCCTTGACCACGAAACAGATCGCTGGAGGTGTGGAATGAGGGTCGCGCTGGGCAGATTTGGGCGGACTTGGGCGGGGTAGTGATTAACGCGTTTTTCTCCACACACTATCAGCGGGGCTTGACCTCTGACGCGGACAGAGACCAATGATGTTGCGGGATTGGAAGAAAAAAACAATGTCAAGCTTGTTATCGCGCAGTGCGGCTGAACTTTCAATTACTGCAGTCAAAAATTGCGACTCCTTCCTCCATAGATGTGGCGTGAAGCTCGATCGTAACCGGAAAATGTGGTACCTGAGCGGGATTGGCGGGGTGGAAGATGAGAACGGAAACGGCAAACCTCAACGCACTAGAGACGAAAACGGCAGAGGCTGGCAACCTCATTTTCGACATTGCATCAGGCATTTATCGACATCAAAGCGGAAGAAAAACTCGTTACAGTCTTGATTTAGATGAAAGGAAGCATCGAAACTGTTTTTGCGATGGCTGAGGTAAGGACAGTTGTTGTTTGTAAATGAGTGTGATGATTGACATGAAGAACAGTTGCTGGGTGTCTCAGTGGAATAACAGTTGGTGTTGAGATGAGTAGACATTCATCTCATCTCTCTGTTAGACTGAGCGACCTTTGACCGGATGTTGACGTGCCGGGCTGTGAAATTGGGCATTAATAGTTGGAGACAGCTATGGCTAGCGTCTCCGCAAGTGCAATCAGATTAGCAAACTATTCAAGTTAACTAGTTAAAATAAGGCTATCTCTATCCCTTAAGTAGTTAATTCAACCCCCTCTAATTAAATTAACTAATTTAATATCTTATAATCTAGTTAATAAGAGGCTATAGATTAGTTAGAGCTCTATTTATTTAAGTATACTTAATTATTAAAATATACTACTATTACTAACCCCTTAATTACTATATATTCTAATAAGGCTTTTTAGAATACCTTTATAATATTAGTTAGTAATTAATCTTTCTTAAAATCTCTAGAGGGATAGAAGTAATTATAGTAAATTAAATAGTATAAGTATTATTAAGATTAAATACTATTTATAAAAAATATTTAGTATTTTATCTTATTTTTATTATTTATATATATTATTACTTTTATTATCTTTAAACTAAAGATATCTACTACTACTACTACTTTATTATTAACTACTAATATATATACTATCTTAGGTATTTTATACTTCTAAATCTCTTTATAGATTATAAATACTCTTACTATTATTATCTCTCTAAATCCTATAATTAATAACTTTATATAGATTATTATAAGTAATAAGAGGTATATACTTAAAGTATAGCTATTATAAAAATAAAAGTAGAGTTAATTTAATTAGATTTAAAATTATAATACCTTCTTTATTAAGGTTATTTAAAGTTATATTAAGAGGTTTTTCTAGAGTTATAATTAATATAACTTAAAAAGTAGCCTAAAAGTTTTTAGTATTACTATTATATTTACTTTTATAGAATACTTACTTTAGTATAATTATCTTAGTTTTCTCTTTATATTAATTATACTTTAATAATACTAAAATACCTATAATATATATAAGATCTCTTTTTACTTAAATAAAGACTTTAATAGTACTACTCCTTTATTATTAGTATATATATTAACTCCTCTATTACTAAAGAGGCTTTAATTTAGTAATTTAAATATCTTAAAAACTAAAGTAATAACTCTATATAATCTCTATATAGTTATTATTATCTCTATTAATCTCTCTTTCTCTTATTTTAAGAATACTTATTTCTAATAAGTACTATAGTATTATAATATAAAGATTACTAATAAGGTATTATAAAGGTATATATCTATTTATAACTATCTAAATAATATTTATTAATATAAAAAGGAGTTATTAATAATAAAACTTTATTTAGTAGCTTTAAAAATCTATTTATTATTTAATCTATAGTTATCTCTAAATATTTATACTTTTATAGCTATTACTTATTATTTTATTAATAAATATAGAACTTTATAATCCTACTTTCTAGTTTTCTATTAATATTATAGTAATTATAATAATATTACTCTCTTAGAGACCCTTATTAATATTATTAACTAATACTAGATTTAGGATTAGATTAGGGTAGTAATCTCTAATAATACTATAATTAATAATAGCTATCTCTAGGCTTTCTATTAAAACCTTAACTTAGAGATAATAGAAATAGATATAAAAGCTTAATATATATAGTATTATAGCTATATTTTTAATCTTATAACCTAAGTATTCCTCTTTAATACTAATAAGGGGACTCTTAAGACTAAATTAGATTATTACTAATTAATAGATTAATATAAAAAGGATCTTAAGTTTTAATAGAAGATTAACTTTATTAACTAGCTCTATAATATTATTAAGTTTATTTAATTATTACTATAATATTATAAATAGTATTAAAAGGCTTTAGTAGATATTAATAAAAACTTTAGGGACTTCTAAATCTTCTTAGAGTTATACTAAGAGGCCTTTTTTATCTTAAATAATAATACCTAATAGAATAGTATATATTTATAATTTAGAGAGCTATAAAGAAGAAGATAGAGATCTAAAGTTTTATATTATTAAGTAATAATAATATAAATATTAAATAATATATCCTAAAAGTAGACCTTCTCTCTTTAAATAACTAAAAAGTATTAGCTAAAATAGGTATAATTTTAGAGCTTTTTTATTATTAAATAAAGAGATATAAGGGATAAGGTATTAGTAATAGTTATAATTAACTTTAAGAAGTTATAATAAGTACTAAATATCTTCTTTCTTATCTACTAAACTAGAAAATATATTATAAAACTATAATCTCTCTATTTACTAATAATAATCTTAAGGATTACTTATAGTAATTATAGTTATATTTAGGCTAAGGTTATTACTATTAATTTTATATATAAGCCCTCCCTATTTATATTTATAAAAACTAAGTATTATTAGTTTTATAATTAGCTTTATAATTTAATTTACTTAATAAGAGATAGTAGGTCTTCCTCTATAGTAGTATTAAATAAGCTTAATAGAAGTTATAAGAGTACTATAAGTTAATAGGAGACTTATTACTCTTTTTTATAATAATTATTCTATATCTATTATTTAGTATATTATACCTATATAATACTTAGTAAGAAAATTACTAAAAAAAGTAAGTTAATAATACTTTTAATAGCTTTATAAACTACTTTAATAAGTAGTATTATAAAGAATAGCTAGAGGATATATTAGTTAAATTAGAAGTAATATTAATATAATATCTTATTAATCCTAAAATTTAAAGTAATAATAATATTTACTTTTAGTAATAAGTTAATAACTAGTATTATTAAATACTACTTTAAGTTAATAAACTTAATATTTTCTTTTAGAAGTCTCTAGAAGTTATTAATAACCTTATTATATAGTAGCCATAGTAGTTAGAGATATTCCTAGTACTCTACTAGCTTACTATTAATATCTTCACTATATTAGTAATATCTACTAACTATAAGAGGGCTTTTAATTAAGCTAAGTTAACCTTTACTTTATAGAGGTTTATAATAAACTTTAATACTATAGAGAATCTCTAACTAGTAAAGAACTAACTAAAAAAAGGGGTTATACTACTTAATAATAACTTTAGGTTATTAGGATTATTATAAATTTTTTTATATAGCTATAATATATTTTTATATAGCGATTAATTTATTTTAATTATAATTAGTCTAATTAATTAAAAACACTAAAAAAAGTAGCTAATTCAGCAAGTTAGGGGGTTAAAATTGACTTGATTGCACTTGCGGAGACGCTGGCCATGGCTGATTGTCTAGTAGGTGTAGCAGAAGATGTCGTTCTGAACCCACATGACATCTTCAACGGTTGGAACAGAGTCGACCCAGCCGTCAACCATAGACAAGACATCCGAAAGAGAACCCTCAACAGAGGAATCGTTCTGGTATCTGTTGCCACTGTACTCAGTGAGTCTGCTGCTGTTGGCAGACTGCCACTCCCACCAAACTCGGTCAATGGCTCCGTGGTGCAGGAAGAAAACGGGATCTTGATATTTTCGAAATTAGTTGCAATCTTCTCCAAGTAGTCGATGAGGTTTAACTCACCATTGGGGGAATAGTTGTTGGCCATGTCTCCAGCTATGGCAGCATGTCCGCCTCTGTGGACCCCGCTCTCAATACCAGGGCGGAAGGCAGAGTATGAAGAATATTCGAGAGTGGTGTTGACTTCAGACGGCGAGTTGTATTGTTCAAGCACAGACATGTCGAACTCGCGTTGAAGGCAGTGGTTGTCAGGGGTCGAGACATTGAAATCCACAAACGGTCCAGATGCAATGCAAAGGGTCGACTCGTCTCCATCACCACCAAACCCGGTATCGGCGTGGAAGACGGGGGAGGAAGCGCCGTCAGCGTAGTCGAGAGTCCTGTCCCAGTATGGGACGGCGCTGTCGTAGTTGCAGTCATTCTGCAGAGCTTGCTCGAAGAGCCAAAGGAACCATCTGTGCCTGGGAAGGAATGAACAAACGAAGTGAACTGGTCAACTGGTCAGCCCCAACTGTCATACAAAGAGTTCTTCACCCACTTTCAGAATCCAACTGTCTATGGACGTTCGCAAAGTCATCGTAAAGACTGGCCGAGCCCGAGTCCGAGGACAAACGGGACGGGTTGTCTTTGAGACACTTGACAGCCTCAATGTAGGAGGACTTCTGGTCGTCGGAAAGATCACGCCATTCAACACGAGTGGTTGGGTTGGAGCAGGACTGGCGCTTGATGGCCAGACCGTTGGCAGTAGCCAGTAGAGATGAAAAGGCAACGATGAACTTCATGTTGAGGGGTGCTAAACGATTGACTCAAAGGCGAATGCTGTAGTTGAGAACGAGTGATGGTGATGATGATGTGTTGATGGTGGTGAAAATCATTTCCGATCAAACGTCTGGCTTAAGTCTTTTATACCCATCAATACCTAAGAAGACTCACATTACAGCCTCGATCAATGTGTCAACCCGCCGAGTGACAGATCTCCCATGATCCATTCTGAGTGCCTCCACAACTTCGTGCAGTCCGGAAAAGATTGAGCCTACGTATGCTATCCCTCACAGACGCGCCATATCGGCAAAGATGAGGCCGCGCATTGCATCACCATCGATGTGACTATGCAGCTGACCGAAGCCTCCTGATAATAGTTGACGTACTCCACCAGTCCAGACATCGCCTTGCCACGAGGATCACGATACTGTGCGATATCACAGCTAGAGCCTTGTGGCATAAGACAGATTACGTGTTCCATGCCAGTCCAGCTTAAACAGAAGACTTATCACCGCTACTATCACTTCACCCAGCCATCGGGCTGTACACACTGAGCATGCCCAGACAATTGACGTCGTAAAGAAGATGGGCCGTCTGTCACTGACCCCTACCTACAACCATTATTTTGCGTCCGTAAATAAAGCCCATGATGCATGTCACAAGGGCTTGCCATATTCAAATCATGTCTCCTACTGGCTCTCATCTCCGTCACTGTAACTGTGATCTGGAGGTAGCACGGCGAACTACATACACCAGTAAGGTAGCTATGTAGTGGCATTCCGTACAGGGCGGTCTGTGCAAGAGCAGAGGCTTGCTGCATTCGTATAGGTAGGTATAGAACGCGCGTTAGTCCTCAGGAGATTCAATGACTAAGTTATAGTGGCAGATTATAAACAGCCTTGTCAAGTGCGGAGAGACCTTCTTGGCTATAAGCACCCCTGGGAGACGTGATCATCCAATGAGCCTCGATATGACCGTCATGACGACGACCCCTTTGCTGCGAGCATCGATCCTTGCTTCTTGGGTATGCACACTACTGTCTGCCAACTGCGTCGCCCTTACTGCACGTCTGCCGAATTCCCCTGGCAACCCTTTTTGTCTGCATCAATTTTGTGATCTTCCTGCGCTTTTAATCCTTCAATTTATATGAAAAGGATTGGAATGATTTTTTGCAGATGTCTTTTGTGAAAAGAACCAACATGGAGTGTTGAGAAAAGTAAGTGTGGCGGCTTTAGCCAAATGGGTAAGTTTTCCGACACTGGCAAATTTTCCGAAACATGATGTTCATATTCGTACGCTCAACTGAAAACCGCAGTGCTCCATCTTCTGAGACCAATCTAAGCTGAGCAGGCTAGCCTTGTGGAACATCGATCCCCTTGCGAGGTTGCGTAAGTTGTCTCCGCAGTACGGAGGTCTATTACGTCCCGGTGAGGCTCGCCGTAACGTTGCCACTTTTGACAACTGCTGTCATTCAACCCCTGCCTGTCACAGGTTGGGGGTATCGAAAAGTAGTATCATGGAAAAGGAAGTAAGTCCTCGCAAAAGATATATAGTAGCATACATTGTCTTCATCGCCCCAAGCTTTACAATCAGCACCCGGTCGTTACCCTCTACTACTCTGAATCCTGCGCATTGAACCACTGTGCTTCGCTCATTCTGTTATCTCCACACTCGTTTTCGATAAACCATGAAGATCTCCCTAGCACAATTCGCCATCTTTGGTCTCCTTGCAGTCTCGTCGGCTGCAGCTGGGCCCCTGGCAAAACGCAATGGGACGTATACCCAGAATCAAAGAAAGTCATGGTGAGTGTCCCATTGACCATCCACAGAGCTCGGATTATGCTGAAATCTTCTGAAGGAACGCTCTCACCGACTGTGAGAAGACCTGTAGGTCTACTGGGCAACTTCTGCTCACGATCAACGATTGACAAATTGTTTGTCAGCTTACATCGAGGCTGAGCTCTGCCTCATGAGTCGACCCCCACGTGCGGGGGTTGCAGGGGCTCAAAACCTTTGGGACGAACTGCACTACACCCACATTTATCAGGGCAACTACATCCATTACGTGGGCCATTTTCTGCCTTGGCATCGGTATTTCGTCCGTGCTCATGAGATGCTTCTGCAAACCGAGTGCAACTACACCAGTGCCCACCCATACTGGGATGAGCTTACTGATCTGGAGACCGCCCCGCTCAACCAGTCGTCCATCTTCGACCCTGTGTACGGATTTGGAGGTGATGGTCAAGGAGGTGAGACTCGGCCGAGTGTGTCTTCCAACTTTGATCAGCTCTGACCGTGATTCAGAAGACGGGTGCATTGCCGACGGACTCTTCACAAACCTTACTCTGCACATGAAAACCGCCAGCAGCAACAACACCTACTGCCTCCAGCGCAAGCTCAACCAGGGCGATCTTGACACAGCAAGCAGCGACAACCTTGTTAAATGCTTCAACAAAACGTCGTATGATGAGGCATGGCAATGCTACAACGGCTCTCCTCACGGCGCTGGACACGGCGCAGTCGGTGGACTGGTAAGACAAGCCCCGCACCCTTGTTCAGGTGCCGTCGAAATAGAACTTCGGGTAAAGTTGCTGACGCGTTACTTTGCGCTAAGCAGATGAGCGACCCTATCGAGAGCAACGGAGACCCGCTCTTCTACCTCCACCACGCTTACTTGGACCGCGTGTGGTGGCAGTGGCAGGAGGCCAACTTGACCGCCCGTTTGACCGACATCAGTGGCCAGAATACTCCCGATCAGTCGATTCTAGACATGGCTAGCCTTTCTGCCCCCGGCAGTGAGCTCACGGACTACAATGGTGATAATGGCAATGTCACAACGCTCGACCACGTCCTCTTCATCCAGAACCTGGTTCCTAATGTCACCATTGCTGACATCATGGACATCAGGGGCGATGTTATTTGCGCTGAGTGTGTCAACTAGAGACCTTGGAGCGGTTTATTGTAGAGACCTCGGGTCACTTGGTCAAATATAGAGAAGTCAGGCGCGATTTCTGTTCTCTTCAATGTACATAGTATAAGAATTGTTTTTAATTCTTGTGTCCCAATGTCGTAGAAAATACAACAGCCACATATGATCACGCGTAATAATTGCAAGATCCGAGTACCCACTAAGTGAGCTTCTTGAGCAGTGGATCGACTTAATCAAGCTTCACATTGACCTATGCTGATAACGTTTTGCTGGCAACCGTTGCTCGTTTTCGTTTGTAATCCGTGTTTACACCCCCCGGAAACCGAAACCGAGAATTGCCCAGGAAAAGCACACTCAACATCAAGCAATAAGTTTAAATTTTCGCCTCTTTTCGCCCTGACCGGCAGATCGCGACGCGTGTTATGGGTCTTGCAGCCCCTGACTTCCGCTGCGGTGCCGACCGGGACGGTAGCACAGCAGGTGGGACCCGGCAGTAGCACACCGGGGAGGCTGGAACTCATAGGCAAGCGAGCTGTCTTGTAGAAAATTCGATGTCGATCGTAGTTACTTCGAAATAGTACCGCAAGCTAACGAATCACATAAATTCGTGAATACCAAGTAATAGCCGGCATGTTACGGTGGAGGTGAAGCTCGACACTATATCGTGTCGATGAATCGCCAACTTACAAATTTCCATCCACATAGTTCCCGTTTTCTATGCCACTGGGGAACAAACAACTCCGATAGAAGCGGGTGCGATCGTACGTCTAGTAGTCGGGTGGCCGCATCGTTGAGATGGGGATGACGAGGTAGAATGTCAGGCCTAGAATCACGAGAGCAAAACGAAGAGGCTTACAATCACGCCAACGTGCCAGCTTCACTAGCAGTACGCAAGCGTCTCTTCAAGTGATCCAGGACAACGCGTATATTAAGTGAAGGGTGGGAACAGTCGTTGCATTTAGGTCGGGGACTTAGGATCGGGGTGTTAGGCCGGGGAGTTCAGCTCTAAGGTAAGTCCCCGGCACTGCATTGTTCCCAATTAAGATCCACCTACGACTCAACAACCAGGAGGCGGAGCTTGACGAAGCATCACATGTTCGGACAACCGCCGAATAATGATCAAAGCGCTCGTATAAAATGCCAACTTCTGCCAGTGGAGAGGTAATAGTAGGAGTGGATGTCTTGGGCTAAGCAGGCTGTGCTGAAAACTTGGCTGGGTGGCTTTGAGCACATCACGCAGTGGACTCCATCAATAACGGCAGTGTGAGTTTGAGCCAGCGGAAAAGATCGACTCCCGTCAGGCGAATCTACCTACGCCATTGAATTGCGAACTGGGTTCAAGGGAATGAAGGGACTGGGACTGGTTCGCATGAAGCGGGTCGGGACGCCAGCAGGAAATTTTCCGGTTAAGTATTGTTGCAATACTAATGCGTAATGCAAGACATCTTTCGCTGCTGCACCTCGGGACCTCGTTGGCGGCGTGGCATGATGGCATAGTGGCAAGTTGAGCCGTCCTGAAAGCCATTCAGAAGCAAGCAATGCTACTTCGCTACTTCTGGCTTTGGTCATGTTCCTCAAAGAGCAAACATGGTGCTCATTCAGTGTTGCTACGTTCAATAAGAAGAATAGTAGGATGTGAAATGCGAGTGCATAAGGAAAGCACCATCAGTCAAATAAACCACCTGCAGGAGGGAGTATCGTTCATATAGCCCGAACACAAATGTTGATGTTGGAAACTCCCAATGTATTTGTCATCTTGAGGATGTTAGGATATCTCCTGAGTACCTACCCTTTCTCGAACTGTAGATAGGTCCAAGAGAGCCTATGTGAGTTCGTCTTATATTTAACATTCGTCAGTCACCCTGCCATTCCAGTGTATGATGACGAGATCAAAGAGGGAGAATGGCGCGCACATTGGGCAGGGTCCAAGGAATACCCTGGAGGCACTACAAGGGCGCAGCACATTTCCAAATGATACAACTTGTCATTCATATCGGACTGAGTACTAAGGTCATGTATATCTCACAACTGAGGAACAATCAACTGGTCAACGTCAGGACCCCAACCCTCCGACCTGGAGAAAGTAACTGTATTCGCTCCCTCCTTCACATCAGCATGAACGACGCTGCTGCCAGCTCTGTCGGGGTGTTGGTTGGTAGCCAAGAAGGCCACGCTCTGCTCCTCGCCGTTTACCGAGACGGCAGCATGGCGAGAGCTAGTGTCTCCGTTCTTGTGCTTTACAACGAGAGTAACACGGTCTGCGGCCGCTGAGTCAAAGTTAAAGACAGCCGTGCCATCATCGTCTCCGCCAAGGTATCCAGCGGCTGAAGAGCCACTGCACTGAGAACAGTCGACCACACGAGCACCGTTTGAAAGCTCGGCGGCTTCACCCTCTAGCTCAATGGTGGGCTTCGCCTCAGACCAGGTGCCAGCGGCGACATCCAAAGTCCAGGAATCATGCCAGTCAAGGGTGACTGTGGTTCCGTCAAAGTTCAAGGGCAGCCAAATGTAGGTGCTTGCCGCCAAGTTGGTCGAGTGCCAGCGGTCTCCCATATAAACAGCTTTGTCGTTGCCCAATGGCAAGACGTAGCTGACTTGGCTGCTGAATGTGTTGGATCCTACGGGGGCGAATTCTGTCCAGTTGGACCACGGGCCAGAAAGAGACTCGGCATAGCTGTAAACCTAATGAGAAAGTCAACTAAAACTCTTGTGTTCTTTATCAGTACAGCAGCTTACATTATCGTTGGGGTTCCAGCCGGTCAGATGAGATCCGAAGATGTAGTAGATTCCGTTCCTCTTGACCAGTGCGGGTGACTCAGCAAAGTACTCCCAGCCGAAAGTAACCTCTTCGACGTCAAGGTAATCATCGGTGAGCTTGATGATGCGGGTTCCATACTCGCGCTGCCCATACGTCAGTACAGCTTCGTCTCTCTTCGGGGAGATTGGAGTTTTCTTACATCCTCACTCAGGAGATAAGCCTTCCCGTCATCATCCTTGTAAACTCCGATGTCGCGGCTCTGGAAGCCCAGGGGGCGGAAGCTGCGGAGATACTCATACTCTCCACACACAGAGTCGCCGATTCCGACGCCTACACGTGCATCCTTGTAGTCTGAAGAGTCGATATGAAGGTACAAAACGTACTTCCCCGTGCTATCGTTCTTAATGACCTTGGGACGCTCAATAATGCGGTTGGGTCCCAGGTCACCTGCTTCTTCGGTGCGGGAGATGAGTCGCCCCTCGAAGCTCCACTCAACGAGGTTCGTGGAGGAGTAACAGTTGACAGCTTGGAAAGCCGATCCGTCGGTCTTTTCTTCGCCAATCATGTAGTAGACACCATTCTCCTCACTGCATAGTGTAAGTCACAATGTTGACCAATTTCGAAGGATCAGCTTACATGATTCCGTTACCGTGGGCTTGAACATGGTCTCCGGTGTTCGTCTGGAAATGGTCAATTTTGGTGTTGTTAGCAGGCGGGTCCATGGATAACTTACAGCCGTCCATGTGGCTCCGGGGACGATACTAAGGGCAGCATTCACGCCGCCTACAGACAAGGCTGTGGCGAGGGCAAGACCGAAGGAACGCATGTTGACTCAATTGAGCTGCGAGGGAGCTTCACACCAAAAAGACCTAGTCACACTGCAACATTCAGCAAAAGGGCACGGAAAGAAGGCATCGGCCCTTCATGATGTATTTGTACTATTCAACCCTGGAGATGATGATTTCTTGGCGATATCTGTAAAAACGCACATGACGTCTGTCATGCAGAACCAGCTACGGCATGTGTGCTGCAAGTGGATTAGGCGGTTGTGAAGAAATTCGGTGTAGCACTAGCCGAGCGCTTAAGACGAGTTGAATGCAGAGGCTGGAGTTGCATTCGGCGCTGTTATCGAGCTGCCAGCGGGGGGAACTCAGGGGCACCCCGCAAAAGTGCAGCTCACGATCTGTTCATTCGAGCGGCAGTCAGTCAGGCTCTGCAAGCAAAGCAGAGTGGCATGACTACCAAGACCGAACACGATCGAGCCAAGATGTAGTATCGCGGGGAAATCAAGCTTGCGATACGTATTTCAAGTCGGCTTTCAGCGGATCCAAGACGGGCCCGTGGCCGTTCTTGAACATGGTTGAGGGCTGATCGCTGCCGTATAGGACAATTAAGGTTGTTACCCCGGTACGATGACGGGGAACCCGGAGCCGATTGAACCGGGGGATTCGGCGGGCCGGTACTTGCGCCGAAACGCATCGCGGTAATAAGGTGGGACAACAGTCTTACGTGGCGAGGACTTCTTCTCATTGACAGAGGCGTCTGATTTCTCCTTAAAGTGAGATTTGATACTCGATAGTCAATCAGTTGGTTGAAAATATCTCACAACATACCCTCATTCAAGAAAGTTCATTGGCCCCTCTGGGCCTTTTTAACTTTTATGGGCTTTCCCCTGGAACCAAATTCTAGGCGTCTTTCCAGACGTGGAAATCAGATGATACTTGCTTGTCTTGAAAACCGATAAGCTCATCTAGCATCTAAGGAATTATTCCGACTATGTGGATATTTGATGCATGCTAGTTCGTATCATGGGTTCTCGCAACCAACTGATATGACAACCAAGTTGCGTCTGTAAATGATTGAAGCCCAGTTTTCTCTCAACGCAAGAACTTGTACAAGCGGTTAGGCTTTCTTTGTTACCCATGAGATTTATCATTTTATCCCACCGTGAGTGCACATCCCTTTTGTCAAGCGCTCTCGTGATTCAATACGTTATGTCTGTGGATATTGCTGGTGGCTTAGGGATTCGTGTGGTTTTCAATAAAACGCAGTGCATAAGGATATATTAGCTATGTGAAAACCGAAGACATTTCTTTCCATCTTAGATGTCAGCTGATAGCCAAAGTGTTTACCGCCTTGAATCTCGTTATTGCTGGTGTTGTTATTCAGGCGGGCAACACGTTTTTCTTGGAGCACGCGCTACGTACGACGTGACGCCTTTTCCCCTTTAACACGCAGCCTTTTTTAATCAAGT